GTTTTGAAAGTATAGTTTTGGTTTGAAATTTCCCAAAATAAATTGCACCATAAAAATGCTGGTAAAATACAATTCCATACAGTTTTTGATCTCGGCATTTTTTGCTTAGAGTTAACCGAAGTTGAGAAAATTGTGTTTGAAGTTTTTCATTGTAATCCTACTGATCCTGTCACTTTAACTTAGTACTACAAAGGTGTGTTTAGCACAAATTGCAGTGAACAGTCGATAGATCGAACAGTTTGCTGGACAACTAGCAATTCAACTTAATGAAAAGAATCACCATAATTCGGCAAATTTTTGCTGTCTTATTGCAAAAAAGTCTTCAACAACTCAAATATTTAAAAGTTTTTACTTTTTGTAGCTGAATAGGCCGAGGTATTCAATCTACATATTGATCAAGTTTAAAATTGTAATTTAAGCCGTGACGTAGTTTTAATTCGAGCGCAAAGTCAAAACACATCCGTTTTTGGCCGAGAAAGTAGGATCATCGGCCGAGCACAATCGAAACGTGCCCAATTTCGGCCAATCAAAGTCAAAACATAAATTGAGCGCAATGTAAACATGATGTAGTGAAATATCGATTAATTGTAAAAACCTGCGGAAACAAAAAACAATTTAATTGAATGATGTGTATCGCTATAACTCGGAACAGTTGTACTGTATCATGCAAAACGAGGGTTCAATTGTGAAATTATATAAAAAAACAATCCATTCATTAAAAATTTTAGATTAAAAATGAAGTGTAAATACATCGCTAAACAATCGAAAAATATAATAAAAGCATCTAACAAAAAATGATTAAAGATCTAGCATTCTGATTTGTCAGAAAAATTACAATTCATTCCACCTTATTTTCCCATAAGATGCCATTTTTTGTTCCGACTTTCGATACGAAAGTAACGGAATATTTGTGCTCGGGTGGGTTTTTTTTTCATCAGACAAATTCGACTTTTTAACTAGCCATTTTTGACGGAATTTTTTATATCATTCGAAAGCTATTGTTGTGCTGAGCTTAAATTTGAAAAGATATTTTACCTGTGATCTTTTTTTTTGTAAAGTTATGAGGGTTTAAAGATTGCCATTTTGGCCATTTTGACCAATTTGTGACAATTAACGCGCGATATAATTCGCGCTATTAACGTGTAAGCGGAGATTTAATCCGTCGTAGAAATCGTTCCAAATTGGTTGAAAGAAGCTTATTTGCCATAATTGATTTGTTACAAGGAGCGAAATCTATTGTTTTTGTACTTTATATGGCGTGTGGGGGATGATTTTTATAGAAAAGTTTTCAAATTTTAGAAAAAAAATTCACTTTATTTTATTACATTTAATTTTTTTTATGTTATTACTGCTCCATAAATCCTTAAAAGGCAGTCGAAACCTTCAGGGCTTTGCCTTGATACGAGCAGTGTTGTTTATCTTTAAGGTAAAGTTAATGAAAAAATTATAAGGATCTCAATTTATTTGTTTTGTATGTTAGAGCGTTTGCGAGTATATTAAGATCTTGTATGTTGATCCGAGTTGGTAGAGTTCTCATGCATTTTTGTTTGAAAATTTATTATAATTTTGCTGCTTGAAGACAGTTTTTATTCTTCGGCAATGGTCACTTATTTGATAATTTGGATAATTTAAATTGATATAGGCTCGAACAACATCGAACAAGTTAATCGGTAGTTTTTATATTTCTCTTTCAAATCTGATTTTAAGACGTTTACAGCAAGTTTCTAGGGCCATCTTAATTGGATTTACAAAGAACTTGTTTTAAAGACACCCTGTAGGTCGGTCAGCGGGAGAGGCGCGGGCCGAGTTGCTCGACTTACGTGTTGGCCCTGTGCAGAATTTCGACTTGAAAACCAAGAGTGACGAGCAATTTTATATCAAGCGCAAAGTTTAAACAGCATTTTGCGATCAATAGTAAAATTTAGATGGTCGAGTCAGTCGAAAAAACTCATTCTTGGTAAAGAAAATGGAATTTTGGTCGAATAAAGTGGAAAAATTAAAACATACCAAATGTTGGTCGGGAAAATCGAAAAATATCTGAAATGGGTGGAACAAAATTAAACATTCTTTCTTGGTTGAGAAAGTCGAAAAACCCCGAAGTTTGCTCGAGAATATCAAAAAATATCAATTTTTGTCCGAGAAAGAGTTGAAACATATATTGAGCAACTCGACTAGCTTACCTTCGTTATTTTTTGCGTCTAAAACTCTAGGTCAACTTTTGCTTCTAAATTTTATACCGTAAATATTATATTGTCTGTGTCTTGTTTGCGGTTCGATTGTACACTTTTTGTGCTCATTTTTTTTAAAACTAAGTAAACCATTGCAAATTCATTTCTTTGCAAATCATAATTATTGTTCCGACTTTCGATACGAAAGTAACGGAATATTTGTGCTCGGGGTGGTTTTTTATTCTTCAGACAAATTTCGACTTTTTAACTAGCCATTTTTGACGGAATTTTTTAAATATCATTCGAAAGGTATTGTTGTCCTGAGCTTAAGTTTGAAAAGATATTTCACCTGTGATCATTTTTCGTAAAGTTATGAGGGTTTAAAGATTGCCATTTTGGCCATTTTGACCAACTTGGGACAATTAACGCGCGATATAATTCGCTCTATTAACGCGTAAGCGGAGATTTAATCCGTCTTAGAAATTGTTCCAAATTGGTTGAATGAAGCTTATTTGCCATAATTGATTTGTTACAATGAGCGAAATCTATTCTTTTGTACTTTATATGGCGTGTGGGAGATGATTTTATAAAAAAAAATTCAAATTTTAGATTTTTTTTCATTTTATTTAATTACATTTAATTTTTTGTATGTTACTACTGCTCCATAAACCTTAAAAGGCACTCGGAACATTCAGGGCTTTGCCCTGATACAAGCAGTCTTGTTATTTTTTATTGTTCCGACTTTCGATACGAAAGTAACGGAATATTTGTGCTCGGGGTGGGTTTTTTTTCTTCAAACAAATTTCGAATTTTTAACTAGCCATTTTTGACGGAATTTTTTTATATCATTCGAAAGCCATTGTTGTCCTGAGCTTGAATTTGAAAAGATCATTTTTCGTAAAGTTATGAGGGTTAAAAGATTGCCATTTTGACCAATTTGGGACAATTAACGCGCGATATAATTCGCGCTATTAACGCGTAAGCGGAGATTTAATCCGTCTTAGAAATCGTTCCAAATTGGTTGAACGAAGCTTATTTGCCATAATTGATTTGTTACAAGGAACGAAATCTATCTTTTTGTACTTTATATGGCGTGTGGGGGGATGATTTTCATAAAAAATTTCAAATTTTCAAAAAGGCACTCGGAACATTCAGGGCTTCGCCCTGATACGAGCAGTCTTGTTATGATTTATTTTTATAAGTGGGATATTGTTAACTATTCTCTCCACTCTCCCTAGCAATAAATGGTCAATCCCTATGAAAAACGAAAAACTAATTTAACGGTTAGGCATACTATGTGAACTCCCCCCCCCCCCCCCTGCTAGTTCGGGAGATACTTAACAAGATCCTATAAGTGATTCGGCTTAGAGGGTTGGTGGAAAAACTGACGCCACGGGAGATTAAAATCATTTTTTTTTGTGGAGAACTCCAAACATGCGGGAATTGTTTCAAGAGCCCATAAACTGTCTAAGAGCCCGTGTCTAATAATCTAATAATAGACTCGAGGTCCATATTTTGGCTGATTTATCACAACAGGCCATTTGATAGTTTCCTAATTTCTGTTTTGATCATAAAATTTATGACCGATGAAATCTTGTAGACTTTGCACTAAGTTGTTATAAAAAGTCAAAATAACTACGCAAAATTTATTGTTCGGTAAATAATGAATGAGTCAAAATGAGATAATATCAAGCTTCAGTAACAAATGCCCCCTTTTTTTGCAAAAGAGGGTAAAGTTAAAAAGATCTAAAGTACTGGGGGTGAAATTTTATGCCATTTTAAGTTTTTCGAAACAACTTTTTTTTCACAGTCGGCATCCATTCTATGGGCAATTATCTCTTTTAAATATCACAAGAACAAGTGATCCATTTGTTGCATTGCTGGACACACATAATTAGAAATCGAGAAAAGTCTCAAAATTGCAGCTTTTTTTGAAAAAATAATTGGTTCGCGCTTTTTATGCTTTACAGACAACTTTAGAGAAAATAGTTAGACCATTCAATCATCCATTTAGACAAACCACTGTGCGTCAATAATCAATTGCCTGTTAATCAACAATTTCAGGGCATTTTGCGAACTACAAACGGTAAATTCCATATAAAGGCAAAAATCTGGAAATTAGATATTTTAATTGCCTTTTTAATGCATAATGAAGTAAAAAATATCAATACATTTTAAAAGTCGACTTGTTTCTTTAGGAGTATTTCGCTGTTTACTATCCGATTTTTTTTACCTCCTTTAATAACTATCGCGTGTTATTTCAAGGTTCTAGTTCCCAAATAAAAAAAATTGCCAAAGGAGTGACCAAAATTAAAAAAAAATTAAAACAAAAATGATTCGAATTGTCATAACTCTATTTTTCGGCCAATTATGTGCTGTGCTGAACATCATCATTTTTTCTTTAACTCTCATTTTTTTCGTATCGATTCAGTATTAATGTTTCAGCCATTTCTTTCATTAAATCTACAATGATTTGAATTATTTTGTAACTATATAAGATCAATCTTGTTAGCGGGATATTATACAACTATCCAGAGAATTGATCTAAGGTAGTGCCACCAAAGATCATACTATGTCAATTAAATGCTTTAAAAAACCGCTTCTTTTTGGCTCGCAAGCAGTGGCTCCTCAACAGTACTTATTAGGTTTGGGTAGCACGTATTATTCTGCTTAACAGTTTCATGAAAAACTTTCTGCGATAAACTCTATGGTTACAAAGGAGTGATACAAATTAAAACTATTTAACTAATTTTTAAGGTCTTTCTCCTGCTTCGAATGCTAAAAACCTGTTTCATTCCTATTTTAAAACACTGTTCTTACTTTTTTTCACAGAAACGAGTATAATTTTGCTGAAAATGGACCGACGCTCCAGACGTGCCAGTTCCAATGGCGGCTGTAACGGAGCAGCAGTAGCCCCAACCTCCGAGCACAAATCTTGCCATTCGAACGGTTGTCCCCAGGGACACGAAACCGACTCCCACGAAACTCCACACGACTCGATTCGTGTGGGGCCGAATAACCAGTCGGATAATATGGGAGTATCACCATCAACAGCACGAGCGTGTTGTCACGAATTGTCAGCCCCCTCCCCGAAACACATTGAGCCACAGTTGACAAAAACCGAAAACTCAACTCTGAAAAACACGCTATTATTTATCATTGTCTGTATCAGTTTGGGTAAGTTCTGTTTGATAAACTAAATTTATTAATCACGAGCCGGGCTGTTACTTTAAAATGAATCATTCGTATGGTACCTTCTTGGGTGTAACCTATACTTTCCAAAAATTTGAAGGAAAAACTCCTCACTGAAAATATTGCGCAATAGATTTGAAAAATTTACCGAATTTTATGTGAAATCAGTTGACATACTGAGTTAGGAGGCTCTTGCTGTGCCGACTTGTGACAAGAGCGAGAGAACATATATGCTTGGGGTGGTTTTTAGAGAATTTTTCGGCGTTTTAACTAACCGTTTTTGACAATATTCACTGAAACCTTAGAATGACTTCTATTTGTTGATAATATAGAGATATTTTTGTTCCGACTTTTGAAGAAAACGGAATATTTATACTTGGGGTGGTTTTATTATTCAGTCATCTTTCAGCGATCGAAATAATAGTTTGCGACAAAAAAAATTAAACCCCTTTGAAGAATTTGACTCCCTAAAGTCAAATATAAGAAAATATTTTAGCTCCGACCATTTTTTGCAAAACTCTGGGAGTTTGAACTTGGCCATGCTCTGGACTATTGCAAGCACATTATTCCGCACAACAAAATTGTTCCAAATTGAATTGAGGATAGTTAATCGGTCGAATCAATTTCCTACGACTAAAATTTTTACACTTGATTTTTTTGTCCAATAATTAAAGTTTTCATTAATTTCTCTTCCCAAAAATCATTCGAAATGAGATAAGGGGCAGTCGGATCATTCAAGGCTTTGCCTTGTTATACGAGCAGTCTTGTTATTATTTTGCATTTTGATATTTGATATTTTTCCCAAAGTACCCTATACCATTCTAACCAATGCCAAATACCCCTACGCCAATACACCTTACGCCAGTCTACACTGCTTAAGACAAAATAATAACAACAAAATTGTGGTCACTGCAATCGCTTAAATGTGTTGCGAGCTAGCCAGCAGAGGGTAGAACTCTAAACAAAAACCAAAGCCGTTAATCATTTTGTATTTGATTTTGCATAAGAGAAATCAAAAAGCTGCCTGCATAATGCTGACATTCTGATTGTTTTAACGGCTCTTTAATGTAAATTAAGAGTTGCCAATTTAAAATAGTTTTTTCATGAAAATTTTTTCTTGACACGCTATGAAAACTGATGCTTTGCTTATATCAAACACTTCGACAAAATATGAAATTATTTCGGCTCTGGAGTTATTGCCTAAAATTTCCATGAAGCATTCCATAGCGAATCATACGAAGGCATGGCCGATGAGTTGCTGTGCATTGCTATATAAATTTACACTAGTGGACAAAATTAAGCGCAAATTCAGGTTTTTACTATTTAAAATATCTGTTTTCAATGTCTGTTTTGGACAAAGTTTCCTTCATAATTCAGTAAAGTTTTTGCATAGACCGAGAACAAATGATCAGAGCTACCCTCTATGAAACTATCAATATTAGGTTTCAAAGACTTACCAATTTAACTCGGGTCTGAAAATGCCACATTTCCTCATCTGCACTAAGTTTTATATTTAGCGTGAAAAAAGTAAGAAACGTCCAGTAAAGTTTTCACACTGATTGTTTCCATTTTCTCGCTGAAAAAAATTCACGTCGAATGAGCAATTTTTTCCTCCACTCATTCAATAAAAAAATCATTGCGATGTAAAACTTTGTGCACATGAGAAAACTTGCATTTTCAGACCGGGATTACATTGGTAATCAATGAAACCAATTATTGATAGTTTCATAGATGGTAGCTCTGATCATTTACTCTTGGTATTTGTAAAAATTTACTTAAATTCGAAAGAATTGTTGGCCAAATAGACATTAAGACGAGACATTCTAAAGAAAAAATTCTGAGCTTGTGCTAAATTTTGTCCACTGGTGTATATCAAAATACTTCTATGATTATTATGGCAAATGGCTCTGCGACAGATTGTCACTACTTGAGACACTACCAAATGTAATATGTGGCCAATATTATTCGGGCTATCAGCCCAGACGAATAGCCCGAATAATAGAAAAAGCGAGTAATTCTTAAACAAGGGCAACACAGAGGTCGTTCGTAAAGAACTAAACAGCTCGTTTGTTGGTCTATTCGACCATTCATTAATAAATGTTCTAATGTTTATCTAATAAAAAACTATTTTATCTTTTTCTACGTGTGTTCTATAGGCATGTTACTGTACACGTCAGTGAAGGTGATCTCTGAATATTTGGATGAGCCGATAGCAGTTGAGACCACCCTGAAGAAGGAGCACGATCCTCGCAAGAAATTCCCTGAAATCATAGGTGAATTATGTATACAATTCGGGTCAGAAATCTATATGTGCTATTCAAAATTGACTATTTTGAAAGGGCGAAAATTGGGAAGGGCTCAAAACCTCGGATATTAAACCTTTTAACTTATGATAGGGCTCCCCTTTGGCACTTTTTTATGAGATGCTATTTTTTACGATTTTTCTGGCTTAGAATTTTTAATGGGAACTAATTAGACTAGTTAAAGTAGCAGCCAAACAAAAACCTGTTACAAAAAAAGTAACAATTATTATTTTTTTTGTTTGTTGGTTACGTTACATTATTGAGTTTTTCAATCTGTGAACTTTCAATTGCAGTGCTTGCATAATGTTGTTTGTGACCCGAATTGTACAAACTGTCCATATCCTAGTCTGTTCACACCGCATGGCTAGTATGGAGAAGATCAAAGCCAACTTGGACATCACGCTCGGCGTCAAAGACATGGCCGAAGTGTTTCTGGAAAAGGTGAAGAACGGTGAAGAAGTTCCCGAAGGTATGAAAAAGTTAATTATTAGTATTTTCAACACATCTCGTCGCTCATTTTTGTTCTTTTTCTTCCTGTTTTCTTTCGAATATATTTCTTTAGTCTACGTTCAGCTAAGTATCTTAGAGAATGTTACACCATATCCTTTCAGATTTCATAATATAATTGTTTAAATGTTCCGACTTTCGAAGAATGTGCTGAATATTTATGCTTGCGATGGTTTTTATTCAGTCAATTTTCAACTTTTTAACTGAGCATTTTTGACAGAATTTTTTGATACCATCTGAAAGATTTTGTTTTTTTTTAGCTCAGATACACAACGATATTTCACATGTGATCATTTTTTTTCAAAGTTATGAGGATTGCAAAATTGCTAATTTGGCCAATTTCAGATAATTAACGCGCGATTTATTGCGTTCTTATAACAAACGTAAGCGGCGGCTTAACGCGTTCCAAAATGAATTGAGACATGTCATTTGGTCACACTACTAATCCAACTTTCGAAAAAAACGGAACAATTATGCTCGGTGTGGTTTTCTTTTATTCAGTCAATTTTCGCCAATCGAAATATTAGTTATCGACAAAATTTTTTTGTACCCCATTGAAAATATTGACTTCAAATTCAAAAAGATGTTTTTACCTTCGAACAGTTTTGAAGAATTCTGGGTATATGAAAGTTGCCAAATTGGCCATTTTCTGGTCTAATTAGTTGCGCTTTGAAATATTTATTGTTCCGAATTTCAATAAGAAATTAACGGAGTATTTGTGCCTGGGGGTGGGTTTTTCTTTCTTCAGACAAATTTTGACTTTGTAACTAGCCATTTTTGACGGAATATTTTTATGAATCAAAATGTATTGTTGTTCTGAGCTTAAACTTGAAAATTTATTTTGACTGTGAGCATTTTTTGTAAAACTAGGGGGTTCAAAGATTGCTAATTTGGCCAATTTGGGACAACTAACGCGTGAGCGGAGATTTAATCAGTCTTATAAATCGTTCTAAATTGGTTGAAAGAAGCTTATTTGCCATTATTGATTTGGTACAAAGAGCTAAAGCTATTCGTTTGTACTTTATATAGCGTGTAGGAGGATGATTTTTATAGGAAAAGTTTCAAATATTACAAAAAAAATTTTATTTTATTTTTACTACTTTTAATTTGTTAATGTTATTTATGTTATTACTGCTCCAAAAACCTTAAAAGGCAGTCGGAACACTCAGGGTTTTGCCCTGATACGAGCAATTTTGTTCACATTTTTTGAGAGCTTAACGCGAACTATTTATGAGTGGCAAAATATCCCGCACAACAAAATCGTTCCAAATTGAATTTAAGCTAGCTTATCAAAACGGTCGTATTAATTTCGCAACATTCAAGAATAAAACTTTGATTTTGTCCAAAGTTCATAGGTTTATGTGAAATAAAGGACAGTCGGAATATTTAGGGCTTTTCCCTGATATACGAGCAGGCTTACTAGGATACAAGACGCTAAATACATCCTTTTGTAGTTTAAAAAAGCATGTGTGGGTGACATTTTGAAACTAGACTACTCGTATCAAGGCGAAGCCTTGACTGTTCCGACAGCTTTTTAAGGTCTATGGAGCAGTAATAACATGAAAAAATTTAGTATAATAAAAAAAAATTTTTTTTAATTTGAGATTTTTTGTAAAAATCATCCCCCCGCACGCCATATAAAATTCAAAGTGATAAACTTCGCTCCTAGTAACAAATCAATTATGGCAAATAAGCTTCTTTCAACCAATTTGGAACGATTTCTAGGACGGATTAAATCTCCGCCTACGCTTTAATATCTTAATATCGCTAAATATATCACGCGTTAATTGTCCCTAATTGCCCATAATGGCAATATTAAAACCCCCATAACTTTACGAAAAATGATCATAGGTAAAATAGATTTTCAAATTTAAGCTCAGGACAACAATACCTTTTGAATGATTAAAAAAATTCCGTCCAAAATGGCTAGTTAAAAAGTCGAAATTTTTCTGAATAAAAAATCACCCCGAGCACAAATATTCCGTTACTTTCGTTACGAAAGTCGGAACAACAATAAAAATACAAGTTTAGTGTTTTTTCTCAATTTTTTCGCTGATTTTATAACCAAAAAATTTTGCCCTGATTTACGAGCAGCCTTGTTGTTGTTCTGAAATTGTAAGTATAAATAATTCAACGCTCCATAACATGTCTGCGATCTTTTTGTTCTGACTTTCGATAAGAAAGTAACGGAATATTTGCGCTCGGGGTGGGTTTTTTCTTCTTCAGACAAATTTCGACTTTTTAAGTAGCCATAATTGAAGGAACTTTTTATATCATTCAAAAGGTATTGTTGTCCTGAGCTTAAATTTGACCTGTGATATTTTACCTGTGACCGTTTTTTCGAAAAGTTATGAGGTTTAGAGACTGCCATTTTGGCCAATTTGGGACAATTAACGCGCGATATATTTCGCGCTATTAACGCGTTAGCGAGATTTAATCCGTATTAGAAATCGTTCCAAATTGATTCAAGGAAGCCTAAATGACGTAATTGATTTGTTAAAAGGAGCAAAATCTATCACTTTGTACTTAATATGGCGTGCGGAGGGATGTTTTTACAAAAAATCTCAAATTTTTTTCTAAAAAGTTTTTAATTTTTTAAAAATAAATTTTCATGTTCTTGCTGCTCCATAGACCTTAAAAGGCAGCTGGAACATTCAGGGCTTCGCCCTGATAAGAGCAGTCTTGTTAACTATTTGCTCTCCTTTTGTAAAATGGGGAGATCCGTTACTAAGTACAAAAATCACGCGTCTTTAAGCGCTGGATCGAACTTTTAACTGTATATCGAACTTTTTCAAGCTGCCTTTTAGGTTGGCTCAATTTTTCCTTAAAAGATTTTTGGAAAGTTAAATAATTTGCTGCTAGCGGTGTCCGGCAGATAAGATGACAGCTATTAAGACAACAATCGTATGCCAAGTTAAATGCGAAGCTATTTACACTATTTTCCAACAAAACTTCTGAGAAGTATTAACAGAGCTTAAGTTTGAACAATTCATTTTAATGTTTTAACGCTCATTTGTTGTCTAAATGACTTGTCGCCTTAAGGTCTTGTCTTCTGATAGCTGGCAGTGAATTGATGGGACCGAGTAAATTGTCTGATTTCCATGTGGAATCAAAGTGTCAGCGCGGATTAAGACGTCTCGCACAATTAGGTCGCGCTTGGGTGTTGAGCATTATGTTTTAAAGAATGAAATAGGTGCAAAATTATCACAGTGTTTTTATCATGTTGGGAACTTTGAAAACCTTATAAATTCACAAAATATGATGCAGGTGGAATATCTTTTAAATTTGAGCTAGAGCGTCAGTATTTTAATTGGAGCGTAATTTAGTCGTAAGCCAATTTAATTTCCATAAAATTGAAATAGATCTGAATGATATAAATACTACCGAGTAATAAAAAAGATAAATTGCGCTAAGTTATAGAAATGTTGATCAACAAGGCTTCCGGGTTGACAAAAAATGCTTATCATATTATTTCATGTTATGAAAAAATTGCTTATACTATTTCATGGACCAAAAAAAAATTACTATGAAAATAGCGAAACACTAGCCCTGGACTTTTTGTCAAAAGAAAACCCAGAGTGTAACTGGCAGTTACCACGCAGATAAACTGCATTTGGTGATTTTTGCAACCTACGTTAATTCTTACATATTCACATGGAACTATATATACCAAAAATGTAACTTTTTGTATATGGCTAGATAACTTTTGGTTTGAAAATTTTGGTAATTGAGAAAAAAGGCCAGTTTTTTTTTTACAAATTTGTTTTTATCTTAGCAAATGAAATAAAAAATCATAAACGTGTTTACAAAAAAAACTGTAAACAAAAAGTCAGTTTTTGCCTGCAAAACTTTTTTTTCGCAAAAATTCATATTTGAACACAAAAGCAAGTTTGCAACCAAAAATGAGATTAAATTTTTTTTACCTCAAATTTGTGTTTTTGCTGATGAAAAAATGCATATAATACAATTTTCATACATGAAAATTATATGATAAGCATTTTTTGACCAAAATTTAAATCATGTTTTTGAGAGTCAAAATGCCTTCTTTCAATAAAAAATTTTTAAAACTCATGTATATTCATCCAGAAATATCGTTAAATTAATTTTGAAGTTTTTATTTTTTCTATAGCGTAATGTTTATCATACAATCGTCATAGATGAAAAAATTACGATATGCATTTTTTTGACAAAATTAAAATCATGTTTATATTGAGCAGAAAGATTCAAAAGATGGAAATAGACTTGGAAGTTTAAAACAGTTTTTAAATTTTGTATTAAAATTGTATGAAAAGAATTTTTCCATAGCCGCCATATATGAAATTGTATGATAAGCATTTTTTTATGGACGACAACCCGGGCTTTTAAAAATTTTCAAAAAGCGGCAAAACTCGTTAATGTAGTTATAACATGATAGTTTTCGCAAAATGACAACGAGTAAATTGTTTTAAATTTTGCATACAAAAGGTATGCAATAAATTCACCTGTTTTGTTACAACGATTGGATCTCACTTAACAATCAACGTCTCCCCCCCCCCTCCCCCCTATTGTATCTACATATCTACAAAAAGAATCTCCACCCCTGTAAAGAAAAAAGTAAAATCGCACTAGAGCGTTGTATGTAAATTCGAATTTTGCTGCATTCAGATTGGTCGAAAGTTCGCTGCAGGTAATCTACTTAACAATCCCCCCTTTCTTGAAGGGGGGATTGTTAAGTAGATAACAACAATTGACTAGTTAAATCAAAACTAACATACAGCAGGAACAATCTTCTTAATTTTTCAATCTAATGATCGGACGGTTCCTGGTTTGAAATCTCACTGTTAATCATCGACTTTTCTGAAATATCTCAGTGATCAATATTTTCCAGCACTGATTCATGTATAATTTAGAAATTGTTGCATCGCTAAGTCTGAGATTCAGAGAAAAATTTGAGCTGAAACTTGAGAACTTTTCTACAAATTAACCATGAGCGTTAGCCTTTCTAGTAACACAGATGTGAGAGTGTCAGTTTACAGGCCCTATAAGATCACTATATCTAAAGCTAAGTAGCTGGGAGGTAACAGATACCTACAGAACTGAAGGTTCAGGGATCGATTCCCGGTAGCTACTCTGCACTTTAGATGTTCAGTTAGTGTAATATCAGCAATAATCAATCGCTAAGTTAGCGCCAAAAACCATTGTGTTTTTTTTCAGTGCTAATTCATTGCTAGCTTAGTGACAATGGCACAAAAATGCTAAATCATGTTTGGTTATTCTTGTTTTTGCACATTTGCAGCGAGCGTTGAATTTTTCTGAGAGACCAACATGTTTCAACAACTAACGAAATGATAATGAAATATGCCATGGCCTAAACAATGAGCTAGCTCAAACATCAATATTTTACATAAATTCTATAATTTGTGATTTGCATTTCCAAGCACTTATAAAAAACTGAAAGAATCTATGTCGAGAAAAGTTTTATTTAAAATTTCAATTTTTCAGATTGACTATCACAGAGCTTATCAGATCAACCTTTGTTTCTGCAGAAAAAAAATGATTTCCAGCTGCAGAGTAACCTAAAAATGATTCCAAATATCAAAACAAAGTTTTTGTAGATAGATCTAGTAAGCTCTGTGATAGTCAGTCTGAAAAATTGAAATTTTAAATAAAATTTTTCTCGACATAGATTCTTTCAGTTTTTTATAAGTGCTTGGAAATGCAAATCACAAATTATAGAATTTATGTAAAATATTGATGTTTGAGCTAGCTCATTGTTTAGGCCATGGCATATTTCATTCTCATTTCGTTAGTTGTTGAAACATGTTGGTCTCTCAGAAAAATTCAACGCTGCAAATGTGCAAAAACAAGGATAACCAAACATGATTTAGCATTTTTGTGCCATTGTCACTAAGCTAGCAATGAATTAGCACTGAAAAAAAAAACACAATGGTTTTTGGCGCTAACTTAGCGATTGATTATTGCTGATATTACACCAACTGAACATCTAAAGTGCAGAGTAACTACCGGGAATCGATCCCTGAACCTTCAGTTCTGTAGGTATCTGTTACCTCCCAGCCACTTACCTTTAGATATATTGATCTTATAGGGCCTGTAAACTGACACTCTCACATCTGTTTTACTAGAAAAGCTAACGCTCATGCTGTGCTTCTCTAGATCATTCTTAAGTTGGCTTCTTGAAAACATCAGTGTTAAGCTAGTTCAACCGGTCCTTCATTGCACAACTGCACAGATACTACTGCGTATTTGTTCCGACTTTTGATACGAAAGTAATGGAATATTTGTGCTCAGGGTGGGTTTTTTTCCTCAGTTAAATTTCGACTTTATGACTAGCCATTTTTGACGGATTTTTTTAAAATGTCAATCGAAAGATATTGTTGTCTTGGGCTTAAATTTGAAAAGATATTTCACCTGTGATTTTTTTCAAGAAGTTATGGGGGTTTGAAGATTGCTATTTTGGCCAACTTGGGACAATTAAAGCGCGATCTATTTCGCGCTATTAATGCGTAAGCTGAGATTTACTCCGTCTTAGAAATTGTTTCAAATTGTCATAATTGATTTGTAACAAGGAGCAAAATTTATTCTTTTGTTTTTTAAATGGCGTGTGGGGGGATTATTTTTGTATAAAATTTTAAATTTTCGAAAAAAAAAAGAATTTTCTTTTTATTTTATTACATTTAGTTTTTTTCTATGTTATTACTGCTCCATAAACCTTAAAAGGCAGTCGGAACATTCAGGGCTTCGCCCTGATACGAGCAGTCTTGTTTATGTTTCTACACCTCTTTCAATACGTTTCATTTTGAGGTATTCACACCCTGCTCAGCTAAAAGTTCATTTTTTTTCTGAGCTAAAAACACTACTTATAATAATTCAAACCCCCTGATGTTAAAAATGCCTTGTTGCTTGTCAGAAATGTTTTCAAGAAGTTTTGAACTATTTCAAAAGTAATAAATAAAAAATTTGTGTTGAAAATATTACATTTAAATAAACTTCAATTACTTTTCAAGTAGTAAATAGTATATTGTGTTAATTAGTATTACGCGTACTGATTTTCATTAGCAAATCAGCTTTTTTGTTCATTTTTTGAGAGATGCACGGTACTTAAAAGGGTCTGGTCATATTAGCAGTGTTTTGAAAATATCGTACCCAAATGTTTATCCCAAGAACATTTCAGATCTGACTTTGAGGTGGTCTTAGTTTAAACAGATATGCTAAATATTTGACTAATTATGAAATAAGAACAGAATTTAAACCGTTTTTTTAAAACAGGCGCTACTGTTTAGAAAAATATGGCAACCGGGCGCGAGGTGTTTTTTTTTGTAAAATCTAATTAAGCAACAATTTGGCATGTACTCAGTAATGAAAAACTATACGTTTTTTCGATTTTTTGACCTTGTAGCGTATTAAGACATTTCGGAAGCAATAAAACGTTAGAAATTTTCGACGTTGAATAAACTCAAAAAACCAAATTTACAAAACGTACCCGCAATTTTTAAGCTATTTTAAGAAACATTATCTATGCTGGGGAAACTCTGCCCCACTTTTGGCTCATTTTAGCTCTTATAATTTTTCTGTTTTAATCAGTAGCGGACTTAAGGGGGAGGGACGGGTCCGCCTTTGTACTATTTCGAGATATCCATTTTTATTTGACTGACCCTAAAATTTTTCTAAGGCGCCTTTTGCGCGAATATTTACTAATTTTGAGGAGTGTGCGCCAAAAAAACTCATTTTTTTTTCATATTTTTCCAAACGTTTTTTTGCCCGTTTATTTAAAATTTTGCCTACAGCACAATTTTGCCTGCAGATATTTTAGTGATTTGTCAGAGCTCAGAAAATCAGTTTGACCGACATGAAACAGGTTTGTAAAAAATCCGCTAAAGATACGCCCCTGGTTTTAATTTTTTTTTCACTTGATAACATTGCTAAATGCGTGATTTTACAATTAAAAGTATGAAAAACACATGTCCTTTTACTTTGCATCGTAAGACTTCATTTACGTTTTGACATTATCAAATAGTTTTCAAAGATCTAACTGAAATGGGGGAGTGGAAAACGAGTAGCTTTTCTTCATTTTTAGACTTTTTCGACCAGCGAGGAGTGAACATCGATGACGTGTACAACAACATCCTCTGGCACAGCACAAATCTCAGCTACCTGCCGTCTGAGAAACTAGAGGCAATCAAGATATCACGTGACGAGTTTGTGATCGACTGTCAGATCAAAAACTATACCTTCCCGCCAAACTACATAAACTGCCTAGCAAATATGGAAGATATTACGACAAATGAATACGCTGTCTGTCAGAAAATCAAACTGACCGTTGATCAGGCAAGGAAATTTTTTAAAGGCCGCTTTTTGTAAAATTAATGCCACTTTTTGTATATAACTACAACACGAGAATCCTAAACTCCAACAAGACTGCTCGCATCAGGGCCAAGCCCTGAATGTTCCGACTGCCTTTTAAGGTTTATGGAGCACTAGTAAGTAACATGAAAAAATTAAATGTAATAAAATAGAATGAAAAAAAAAATTCTAAAATTTGAAATTTTTTTAATGAAATTATCCCCCCACACGCCATATTAAGTACAAAAGAATAGATTTCGCTCATTCTAACAAATCAATTATGGCAAATAAGCTTCTTTCAACCAATTTGGAACGATTTCTATGACGGATTAACTCTCCGCTGACGCGTTAATAGGCAAAATGGCAATCTTTAAACCCTCGTAACTTTACGAAAAATAATCACAGGTGAAATATCTTTTCAAATTTAAGCTCAGGATAACAATAACTTTTGAATGATATAAAAAAATTCCGTCAAAAATGGCAAGTTAAAAACTCGAAATTTGTCTGAAGAAAAAAAAACCCACCCCGAGCACAAATATTCCGTTACTTTTGTATCGAAAGTCGGAACAAAAACGCTTACAAAATGGGGTAACTTATTTTAGTAATTTTTACCGAAAATTGCGTTTTTTCGGCGTGCGCTCCCCTTCAAATTTAGTATATACATTGGCGTCAAAGGCGCCTTTAAAAAATTTTTTAGCTTTGATCCACCTAAAATGGATGTCATAAAATGGTTGGTGAGGGGGTCAAATCCCTGAGAAGGAAAAAAGTCCAACCCCCCCCTCCCTCTAATTCTGCCCCTGCTTTCCTCCCCTATGGAACCGTGTAGCGAATTGGCCCATCTAAAAAGAAACAATTGAACGCAGTTAAGAATACTAATTTTGTACCTTGGAACGAATCGGCCACCCTTTTTCAAAAAGGGGCCATTAGTTAACAAGATCCACCACTCAAATTGTTAATATAAAATTGGCTAAGATAAATAACATTTTAATCAATAAATAAAATAACATTTGTGCGATGACCACTTAAAAACACCTGAGTTTAGGCCGACACTGCGACCAAGTTCACAGGGTCAACGTATGGCCTCAGACTGAACTTGTTTCTGAATACGAAGGACACTTCGGGGGAGATATCTTCGGCCTCGGGAGTCCGAGTCACAATTTCGGACCCCGAGTACCCTGTCATTCCACAGGTGAGAAGACGGATTATGGACCTAATTTTCAATGTCGACCTTATAGACAATTTAGGGAGCGTTCACTTGGAAGCTATTTTTTTTAAGACAATCAGAAGCCTATACATTATTGAACGTTGAAATAAAGCTAGCAAACTTTCTTACTGAAATCGAGGACAAATTATTTCAGTTGATCTTTAAGCAATATAAACTGTTTTTAACTATCACTAACTTTTCAGTAATTGATTGTTAAAGTCTAAAAAATAAAAATCGTTTTTAAATTAAAAACGATTTGTGTTTTTTAGATTTTAACGATATCATTTACTGAAAGAGAAGTGATTGTTAAAAGCCCTTCTGTATGTTCCTGGATTCCAGAGACAAGTCTTCAAACATGTTAAAACTTTGTCGGAACGTTCAAAGAAATTGAAAGAACAAAAGAAGAACAAAGGGAGCGTGTCCTTTGTTGCGGAATCCGCATCAATTTACAAAATGCACAGTTTGGCCTCGTAATGAGTTTTTTTCAAAGCTGCGGTTCACTATATGTTGAGTAACTGTGAATCAGTTATGACAATTAGTTCCATAGAAGGCAAAAAAGTTCCCAGCGAAACAGTCATACTAATCCATTTTTGTTCAAAGTGCGATTGCGAGATCAATGAATGATTTCTAAAGGGATTACTAACACAGTTTTTGACGTCTAAATCTGTTTTAAATCATGCTAGTAAGATGATTTCATGCCGAATAAATGGCAAAACTAATCTTAACGGGTTGTTTTTCCTGTTTTTCATATCAGATTTTGATAATTCGCGGTATGAAATGTAGACTTTTAACGAGCTTAACTTCTAAGGAAGACGGATTTTTGTTCAATCTCAATTCGCTAAATCCTCTGCTGGTTCAGTTATTTCTCGAGTTATATTCAAAGATTGAACAACTATTTCGATTTAACTTATCGTAACATATTGTGTATGGTACACGGATTAAGTATGTACGAAAAATGAACTTTGTAACCCAGGGGGCCCGGGCAGGGTAGTTGACAAAGATCCCAATTGAGTTCAAATGTACGGCTGAATTGCGTCATCAGGTCTGATATAAAAAGTGGTGCTTCAGAATAGTGGGGTGGACGTGGCGCCTGGAATTGCTCTGTCGATGGGGTTCCGTCGCTTCGAGTACCTCAAGATTAACCGGAAGAGCAGGGAGTTCGAATGCATCTCCCACTTGGACTGGACTCCCTTCCTCTCCCCAAACTCCACCGTCAAGGGACTGGAGTATGCTTCCACTGATCACATGTTGTGCGATCAGACCTGTTCTTCCATGTAAGTTCATTTGGTACGAAAGTTGCGAAAAACGTAAAATGAAACCATAAAACCATTGCAAAAAGTCTTTTTTCTCGAAAGAGTGAACCGCAAATTGTGAAAAATTGGTACGAAAGTTACGAAAAACGTAAAATGAAACCATAAAACCATTACAAAAAGTCTTTTTTCTCGAAAGAGTGAACCGCAAATTGTGAAAAATTAACGTGAAATATTGAATACCCAAAACTTCGAAACAGTCAAATTTGCGCTGCGCTCATGAATTTCTACTTAAGGCACCTAAAGCATATTTATAGACAATTACCCATGCAAGAGCTTCTTTTATAAGATACACATACCCGCGTTGACCTTCATAGAAAAGTGCTAATCATACAAATCTATAAACTAAGTCTATGAAAAAACACTACTCATACAAATTTTATACAATTTTGCAAAAATGATGCGATCGAATTTTCGAAGGACTTTTTTCTTGTTTTGGCATACAGGTCGGTGAATCGTATGAAATAAAAAAGGAAAATTTTTTATTAAAAAAATGCTAATCCTACTTTTTTTGTTTTTTTTTCAACCGCAAATCGAATTTTTTCCTCAAACAAACATTTTTCAAAAAAAAAATTTTGCATGCAAACTGTAATTTTTTGTGTGCATAACGTAGTCTTGGATACACTAATATTGATTTTTTTTCCTTTTTGCTTAATAACTTTTTTTCAAAAACGCTAAAACCTATATTTTCTGTATGGCATGTTTATTTATGCCTTAATCAATGTCTGATAATTTGAAAATTCAAATTTTAAAAGTAATCATCGTTGAAAGTTTTTGCCAAAAATTAAAAGTTTGATATTTTCGTTATATTATTTGCAACAGACAGAATTAGGAGATTTCAGGCCATTTCCAATGCATTTTTGATGCGAGAAGGTCAAACCTTTGGTTACTCTACTTATAGTAACCAAGGTATTGTCACTTGAGTTCGGTTACGAACAGAACCAAAACCTTGTGAGAAATTAAAATGTAAGAAAACAATATTTTTGGTTAATGGAAAAAAACAGGTCATAAACTTTCCATATACGAAAAATCCTTAATTATAGACCTTTCATGCAATTTTCTGTACTTAAGGAATTGCATGAAAAGTGTATGGTTAGCATTTTTCTATTTATAAGAATTGTATGACTAGCATTTTTGGTCAACCCGGGTATACGGCTTGATTATAATTTTTCATATAGTGATTCTAAGAATCACCTGATTTTGATTTTAAAAAAAATTAGGAGCGGGATGGTTGATTTTGAAACGAAAAGAAATGAAATAACGTTCTCGATTTTAGTTTTTTGTTTTTTAGTACCACCAAAAGATGGAAAGAAGTAGCTTAACTTACTTTAAACTACTCATCTTGAAAAATTTAGGTTCATCTCAGTTGCTTTAAACAGTAGTGCACAGTTAGTTTGACATTTATTTCTACAAAAATGATTTATGAAAAAAAATTGTTTAAATGATTTTTGTGGAAAAATATGATTTGCTGGGTTTTTGGACCAAACAGTTGGACATTATAATCGATAAAATATGCCGGTTTTGAAAAAAAAAGATACAGTTCTGATTTAAATTAACCGGTCACAACAAACAGCATTTGCAATTTCAAACGCGTTTTTCTTGCATTGGGTTAAGATTAGACTAAAATTGAAGACAACAGAGTTGCTTAAATATTCACCAGACTCATTAAGGTGGAATTTTTCTCTAAATTTTCAAACAAAATTGTACCCCAAAATTGTAGTTTTTTTTTAAATAATCAAGAGTTACGCTGAATCTTGTAAGATAATTGATGAGAAAATCATATAAAAAGAAGCCTCTTACACAACCTAAAAATTCTATGAGAGTAAAACTTTGCGTAAGACGTTTGATTTTGTTTTTGACCAAAGATTTTGATTTTAATATAGTAAAAATGACCTGTTTTGGTAATCAATCCAAAATTATATTTGTTTATAGAGTTTTTGTAAATTATTTTTTTAATGGAGTTTTATTGAGCTCTGCCAAAAGCTATTTCAAGTTTGATTATCTCGTCAATTAACTTGATAACTTCGACGTGTTTCTTGATTGATAAAAAAACGGCTCATTTTTGGAGTAAAATTTTGGTAAAAAATTTCGAGGAAAAATTGCACCATAATAATTCTGGTGAAGTTCTAAGCAATTATATTCTCCAGTTTTTGTATAATATAAAAAAGCACATTTGAAAATTCAAATAATTTGTTTGCTTTGTCCGAATAATTTAAATCACTACTACATTTTCAATGAATTATAATCGAACTTTCTTCTTTTAAAAAAAAATATTAAAAAAATGACTGCCACCCATCATAATCGGTTAAAAAGAACTTCATTGAGTTACACGGTAAATCATCGGATACTTTTCATAGGTTTTCAAAAAGTAACACTATATTTCAAAATTTTGTAGTTTTTGTAATTTTACAGAATCTGACATTAAAAATGCAGTAATATCGATTATTATCCATAAAACGCCGGTCCGTGTGAAGAATAGAAGAAAGAAGAAGTCGTTTGGAATAGCTTTTAAAGGAACTGAAATCCTAAAAATCTGAATTTTTAATTTTCAATTGAACTTTTTGTTTTTCAATTGCATTCAACAGAAAAGTATAAGTACTTTGAAACTTTTTCCTGAAAAATCAATTTGTGAAGCCCGTTTAGTTGTTACCTAAACTAAAGGCAGAAACAATATTTTCGAATAATTATTTAAGCCGGTTCAGAATGTTTGTTTGTTTTCCAGCTACACCCAACAGAAATGCAACTGCAGCACTATGCATTTTTTCGGAGACACCATCTGTCAGAAATCAGAGCCGTGTGTGATTGCGGAGCCCACTTACTCCTGGCTGAAACGAAGAATCAAGCACTGCAGAGAGACCATGTGCAAAACCTCTTGCAGAAAAGTAGACTACAGGGTAAGCACAACAAGGTCGGAGCAGAAGGCAGACAGGTGATAAAGTAGACAAATACTATATTTCAATCAGAATGGAGATAAGAAAACACATGTACGAAATAAATAGCTATTTATTAATCTTGCTTACGTTTGCTTTTTGTATCTCGGTTCTGACTGGTTAAAATACATATTTTTCTTATTTTTTGAGGAGAATGAAACTAAATTATTTTCTTTTTGACCGCAATCCGAACAATCTATAGCGAACAAATGAACTATTTGACATCCATTTTGACCTGATTATACTTTTTAAAAAAATTGAAAATGAATTTGTTTGCAAACAAATCACCTTCAAATTTGTTTTAGTTTTTGAAGGCGATTTTGATTTGAAAAGACATAAGCGGCGCGACCTAAGAAAAGACTTAAGCGGCGCGACTTAAGAAAATACTTAAGCGGCGGGACTTAAGAAAAAAGTTAAGCGGCGCAACCTAAGAAAATACTTAAGCGGCGCGATTTAAGAAAAGACTTAATAGGCGCGATTTAAGAAAAGACTTAAGCGGCGCGACTTAAGAAAATACTTAAGCGGCGCGACTTAAGAAAAGACTTAAGTGGCGCGACTTAAGAAAAGACTGACGGTGCGACTTAAGAAAAGACTGACGGCACGACTTAAAAAAAGACTGACGGCGAGACTTATTAAAAGACTGACGGCGTGACTTAATAAAAGACTAACGGTGCAACTAAGGCCCGCGGCGCGACTGCGAAATACAGTCTGAAAACGGTATGCGGCGCGACTTACAAAGTCTTTTCTTAAGTCGCGGACCTCGACCCGGGTGCCGATCATTTCTAAGTTTGAGCAGGGAAAGAGACGGCACCAAAAAGTTCTTTTTTGGCCAAAAAATACAACAAAATGTCCAAAAATGGCTCAAGAAAAGATGTCCGAATGCAGATTTGAAGCTTTGTTTTTCATGTTTAATTCTGGTCTGAAAAAAAATCAATTTCAGATCTAAATTTTGAATTCAATACTTTTCTTTCTTTTTTCTTTCTTTTTTGTTCCGACCATTGTAAATGGGGAAAAACTTTGTATTCGGGTGTGTTCTAGTTTTTTTTTTGTTTATTTATTTTTTTTTGTTTTCCAAGCAAAATCAGGTACCGCAAAGAACCATCGGAATGAGTCGAGCGATATAACATATTCCAGCCCTTTCAGTCGTGATTCGAACGAAGTTTGAAAGTTGAAGAAAATTTAGAGTTTAACTCAAAGAAAATTAGCTATCGAGAACTGTTTTAGCGTCTTCTTGGGAATGAAAGTTTGAGAACGAATCAAAGAAATTCTGCAAAATATTTGATTTTTTTGTATTGCAAGTTATTTTATATGAAAAACTCTTCTCAATTCTCCCCATTTTTTGCTTTTAAACACTTTAGGCTTTCGTTTAGGTTATTTCGTCACATCAAAAACAAAAAACGATTATTTCGTCACACCAAAAACAAAAACGTCAAGATTATTTCGTGACACCAAAATCATTTCGAAAAAATAATTTTTAATTTTTTTTTTCAGATATGGTCCAAACATTCAGTTGTATCTATAGTTCGACTTTAGTTCGACCAAAGACTTCATTCGTACGTCTCGGGTAGTCATAACATGAGTCAAGCACCTCAACCCCGGGCAGGAAGTAGATTAACGATCTGGTTAACTACGCAAGCGGATATAATAATTTTTATTTTCTTTCTTTTCAAGGTCACTACAAACCAAGCCATGTTTCCTTCCGAAGCCTTCATGCCAGTGTTCATTGGTCGGATTCTATCCGACGAGTCAAAGGTCAGCGACTACATCAAACGAAACGTCCGCCAGTTGGTGAGTTCATGAACTAGACCATTTTTTTTCATTGATTACGGCAATCCCCTTAAATTAAGGGGCTCGCTGCAATGCTTTAATCAGCTTGTCGAATGTTTTCATTCCTTAAATAACGAACAAATGGCGGAAAAACAACCAAAAGCGCTCAAATTTGTCGGCTCTAATAATCTAAAAACAGCTCTAAGTAAACTTTTTCTTAGACGTCCGTCTAATAATGTCCAGAACGCCAACCCAAAAACATCAGCCCACAAACTAGTCTTCAGAAAAGCACACACACTCTGATGAACAATTATGGAGAGAAAGCCTTTAAGTGAAAAAATTGCGGCTGGCCCATTTATTTTTGTATTTGGATGTGAATACCATACAAGTTAAATATATCAGTCTTACCGAGAAGGTGAGGGGTGAGAAAGTCCGCAACTCCCCGCCCCCCTCTCCCTAAATCCGCCCCTGTCTCGTCTTATCCCCTTTAGCGGTAAATTGATTCTGAACAAGAAAAGATCACACGCGTTTATCTCAGCACCGAGAGAATTTTTCAATTTATCTTCTCGGAAATTAAATCACGACCCAGTAAGCTTTGATTTGATACATTCCCTCCCAGGTTTATCTGAAATAAAAGATTTGCCAGAATTCATACTCACCTCTTCTTCATTTGAATGAATAGAATTGAGCTTCAATTAAAATCTAGAAACCAAAATTGCTTCCATTATTAATTTATTATGCTGAAAAATAGAGCTGCGGTATGTTTGCTCAAAGTAGACATTGACCCAATCACACTCAGTAATTTTGTTGATTTTTATGTGTTTTATTTATGATGTGTATCAGTCTTCAGCATATAGACTCCATAAAAACAATCAAGTTCGTATTTTGAGCAAAACTTAGAAAAAACTTTAAACGACAGTTTTAAGGCACTTTTTAGAAGGTTTTGACCAAAAGTCACGTTTTTTATCGCACTCTGCCCACAAATTGGCGCCTTTAGAAAAACCGTACCCAACACTAAAAATAATATCTGGCATCCTTAAATCTTGCCTGATTCAGATCTTGTGCTGTTATGATCCATGTTTCGTTTGAGTATGAGCATGTCTGATTCCGGTCTGCGCAGGTATTAACTTTTTTAAAATCCAGATCTGCACAAAATTTTAGCAATGAAATGGCTATGAGTTAGCCATGAGTTTCAAGTTTTTTTTTACCCTAGTGACAAATTGAAGTAGTGAAAAAGCACTGATTAGCATATTCAATGTTTACCTTCCTTACTCTAGTAGCCAAAGCTTAAAGCTTCATAGTTTATGAACGACTGAAAATTAATAATATTTTTGGGTGCAAATAATGGACCCAATGGTTAAAAAATGTATTTTAAAAATGCTTTGTTAGATATTTATTTGGAACTACCACATGTTTAATTCTAGAGAAATTAAAATGATGTCAGTTAAAAGCTCTACCCGCAGTGACAAAAATGGATAAAAATCCGTTATCTATAGAAAATATACAGAATCCAGATCTGTTGAAATTTTATATAGTAAAACTTTGATTATGTAGTTTTAATAATCGACTATAATGCATTTTGTTTTGCAAAATTTTCATACTGGTCATCTTCATTATAGAATCATTGCCAAAACACTCTAAAACTTTTTTTGTATCAAATTTTATGCTTACTATAAGCAGATTATATACACATTATCTACAGATTATCTACAGAATATACACTGATTATATACAGATTATATACAGACTATATACAGATCATAAACAGATTATATACAGATTTCATTCAGATATATACAAATTATATACAGATTATATGCTGATTTTCTCAACATTCTCGCCAATCAGATAGAATGAGTATGTTGAAATAAAATTATAATGAGGGCTTTTTACAGAAATTTTTGTTCTGATGTTTGATCTGAAATAAAAAACAAATTTCTTATTGTGGAATAGTAAATTGCTCTATATTATTTTTCTTTTTTATTGATGTTTTTATCTTAAAATTGCCTTGATTAGGTCGATCTTTGACATGGCGTTTGAAGAAAATTTGCACAAAATTACTTTTCTTACCGCGGAAACCCTTAGATTGCAAAATCTTAGAAGGAACTCTTGAAACTTGAAGTTTGCGGTAACCAAATTTCATCAAACTGAAGAACATTTTTCCTGAAAGCAAATTGTGGTTGAATTTGTCAAAAAAATTCCATAGCTTATTTTGAATGGTCAAAATTGAATTGCTACGACCCCTATAGTTTTTGTGCAATATCATCAATTTGATACAAATTTTATTCAGATTATATACAGATTATCTATAGATTATCTACTTAATATCTACAGATTATCTACAAATAATCTGCAAGTTTTATTCTATAAAAATTTTATACTGACTAAATGCA